CGTCCACTGCGTCCAACTATTCCCCGGCGTCCAAACTGGCGCAGCATAGTTTAGAACCGGCCGGCCAATTGCCTTGTATGTTGCCAGCAACGTTTCTTTGTCTTTGCCCCAAGTGCTGCCGGCGAGCGACTTGAGGACCTTGTTGCAGCTCTGTACTTCATTGACAATTGCGGTTGTGTGCGTGGAGTAGGAAAGCAGGCTATCGAAGGTGACCCAAAAGATTTTCGGGTTATTTACAGTCGGTATTGGTGTGCCATCGACGTGTATACCTAACTCTAGCCTGACCTCCTTCGTCCAGGTGGTGAAGAGGGTCGCCGTTGATTTCATTGGGGAGAGTGTTAGGCTCCTTGCAGTGAAGAAGCGAGAAAGGCTGGAGAGATAGTCGTTCACTTTTGAGCAGAGGTCATCAATTCCATTCCCGGACGCCAAAATCGAGCAATCGTCAGCGTATGAGATCAGGGAAACTCCCTCAGGTGGTTGGGGAAGTTTCGAGATGTAGAAGTTAAATAGTAAGGGGGAGAGAACACCACCTTGTGGAACCCCTTGTTTAATCCTTCTTGGTTTCGAGGTTTGATCTCGGAAGATTACTGACGACTGTCGACCACTCATATAATTCGCCGACCATCGCTTCAGTCCCTGTGGGAGTGAGGAGGCGTCGATGTCTTCTAGTAGCGTGGAATGGCAGACGGTGTCAAACGCCTTTGACAAGTCCAGCGCTACTAGGACCGTTCTCTCACAGGGGCGGTTTCGATTTAGGCCACGAGTTATTTGTGTGTTTATGGCGTTAAGTGCTGTTGTTGTGCTGTGCACTTTACGGAATCCGTGCTGGTGGTGGAGTAGTAGGGCCTCAAGCGTCTTCGCTACCGGGGAAAGGAGCGTTATCGGGCGATAAGAGTCTCCTTTGTTGGCGGGCTTCCCCGGTTTCAGCAGTGGGACCACTCTCCCTGATTTCCACACATCAGGAATGATGAGAGTGGCCATGGACAGGTTGAGGACCTCCGTTAGGTAAGCTACTCCCTTAGGCCCTAAATGTTTTAGCATCAGCATACAGATTCCGTCGGGTCCAATGGCTTTGGAGGCTTTCGCCTTCCCGATGGCCCCCTTCACTTCACAGCTGGTGAAAACAAGTGGTGCACTGTTTTTTGGCAGCTTGTGCAGCCTCCTGGTGCAGTGTGAATTGCCTACTAAAGTAGGCTGCGCATTTCTTCGGGTCCGACGAAGCGCGACCTTCGAAAGAGATTTCCACTCTGTCATCACGCTTCGTTGGGTTGGACAGGGACCTCACGGTTGACCAGAGCTTACTCACACCAGATGTGAAGTTACAGGCCTTCAATTGCTCCTCCCACTTTTTCCGCTTATGCTGATTTACCAGTTGCCGAATCTCCAAATTAAGGTCCCTCAGACGGGGGTCCCCGGGGTCGACCTGGCGTAGGTGGTCACGCTCGTTTGCTAGTACAGCTGCTTCGGCCGGGAAATTTGGGCGGACTTCCGCGATGCGTCCGGGCGGGATGAAGCGAGCCGCTGCGGTAGTGACTACCCTGCGGAACTGGCGTTCGCCAGTGTGTATGTTTGTGGGTGTGGGAAGGGCGGCGAAGCTGATCTCGGTGACTTCCGCGAAGCCGTCCCAATCAGCTTTGTTGAAGTTGGTGGAGGTTCGGTGGTGCGCGGGAGCAAAGTCGGTGGGCTTATTGATCGAGATGACTATGGGTAGATGGTCTGATGCTAGTGTTAGCATAGGTCGCCATGAGATGCTATTGATCAAACCAGTGCTAGCAATTGTTAGGTCTGGCGAGCTGCTGCAGCTACCCATAATCCTGGTGGGGGCGTCGTCGTTCATGGTGCAGAATGTCTAATCTTCTATCTGCTCAGCCAAAAGGTTTCCCCTACGATCATTGGCCATCCTTGAGTGCCATAGATCGTGGTGCGCGTTGAAGTCACCTACTACCATTCGGTTTTCACCTCTGAGTAGCGCACCTATGTCAGGGTGATATCCTGCCGGGCAGCACGTGACAAGGGGTATATAAACGTTGAATATTTCGAGCTCGACTACGCCTGACCGGACAGCTATGCCCTGACATTCTAGGGTGGTGTCCCTCGGGTCGATGTCTTCTTCGATAAGCCGATACTGCACTGTGTGGTGTAAGATGAACGCTAGTCCGCCACCATTATCTCGCTCGCGATCTTTACGGAGATCATTGTAGGCGGCGCAACCCAATAGAGTTGAGTTGCTGTGCAACTTCGTTTCTTGGACCGCAGCTATCAATATGCCATGCCGACCCATAACGACTACTATCTCCTCAATATTGCTCTGGAGTCCGTTGCAGTTGAGTTGTAGGAGTTTCGTATGCCTTGGGAGGCTGGTCGCGATACGGGGGGTGAGGGAGGAGTGAGGTCTACCTTGGGCCTGTTGCATCTGACGCGCTTGCTGTTGCTGCCTGTTGGTAGGTGGCTGCAATGGGGGCGCTGTTGTCTGCGTCAGTGGCGCTTTGCAGCATGGGGCGCTGTAGTAGGCTCGTAGACCGGAGCATAGGCGGAAGTGACACCAGCCTAGGCACGAGTTGCATTTGACCGATGTCACGTTCCGATATATTCTGCTCCGGCATACGGTGCAGGTGGTGTGTGCAACCAAGAGCTGCTGGTTAGCTCGCACGCGCGAGTTAGACAGGCCGGTAGACTGTGGGGGAGCGAGGTTTGCTGCTGCCCAGAGGAGCTTCTTGGATCCGTGCAGGCTCTTCGGGTGTTGGGTGTGTTGCGCGAGCGGGTAGCCGTTGAGGCTGATTGTGCCGTTTGGCTTGAGCAGCAGGGAGCCACATAGCTAGTGGTCCCCTCCCGGTGAGACCTAAGACCAGAGCAGGTTCTTAGGTGACTCCATCCGTTGCATGAGTTGCACCTAACCGAAGTGGAGTTTGGATGGAGTCGATTCTGGCAAACACAGCAGAAATACGTTTCTGGTCCGGGGTTGGGCTCTACGCCCGCCCGAAAAAGAAGGATGCGGAGCAATCTGGCTTCAAGATGTTGCTCCATGGACGAACAATGATTGAGGGGTATCGCCGATCTAAGCGGGGTTAGGTCGCCGAAACAACAGCCCTTGGTCGGGTAAAACCCGAGTCATTCCGGTACGTAGAACCGGCTGTCTTGGGAATGCTCAATTCTGTCGTTAATGGTGCATAATGTCAAGTTAGAACTAAATACCATTTTTTCTTAAAAAATGAGACCTACAAATTTCTTCTTTCCACAACAAATTTACAACAAAAACACTAAAATTAATGCGGTAGTTAACTTTTCCAATTTCGAAAAGTGTAGTGCTTACTTGACACACGTAAATCTCAGCCAAATGTCACCTAACTTAATCAGCTGACGACTAGTGTATATAAAAATTATTTTTACATACATACATACAAACATATGTATGCATATAAGTATATATGAACATGCCCTGCAAACCAAAGTTCCCGAAATCTTAACGAAATTTTAAAGAAACTCGGAAATGTGTTTCGAATTCTGTAATGATTTCTTTACGAATTTTCAAAGAAAGTCGTATTAAGGGGTTGACACGAACTCGTAAAGAAATATCTATAGGATTTTTTAACTAAAATTCTAAAAGATTTCTTTAGGAATATTTTGTTAAATTTCTGAATGAAAATTCTAAAGGATTTCTTTAAATATATTTTGTTCAATTTCTAAAGGAAAATTCTAAAAGATCTCTCTAAGAATATTTTTTCAGCATTCTGAAGAAAATTTAGACTAGATTTCTTAAAGAATATTTTGCCAACCTTCTGAAAGAAATTAAACACGGAAATTTTTGGAAATTAATCGCTAAAGTTTATTCGGTTTATATACTATATGAAATGTATGAGAGCGGGATTTCAATTACTATCCGGCTGTTTGCGAGGATAGCGACCAAATATTTACAAAATTCTCGTTTGCCTATGAGGCAGCTAATGTTAGCTACAAAATAATTCATAATAGTTTTCAAGGTTTAAAGTAAATAAATGTACAATAAAGTGATACATATAAATTATAAGCGTTCAAAAGGTAAGTATTTAAAATTTTAGTAAAAGCAAACTATTTCATGGTATAAAGAAGGTAAATACAACATGTTTAAGGTTGATATTTGCTTTGAATGTAAAAATTAGAAAAAAAGTTAAATATAAATTTATAATTCTATTAAGTTTGGACTCATGTCCTCGACAATTGCGGGAAACGGTTAGGTCTGCGGGTTAACTGCATGCTGTAGGTCCTTTGCAGAGTTGAAAAATCGTTTAAGCTTCAGTGTTGTCCAGCTTAGCATTCCCAACTGCAGACACACAGGAATCTGTGAACAAAGTAATCTTATTTAGCTGCATACATATTGTAGGTACGCTAAAATTACGCAAAAACAGGCCATGACACGTAAACTTAATTTTTAACCGACTTCAAAAAAAAATGAGAAGGTTATCAATTCCTCAATAATCGCAATATTAAACTTACCTTTTTGGCTTATTCTTATTTTTTTAATTTTCGGTTGTTATAAATAAACGCGTTTATAGCACAAAATCACAAAGATATACATATCTATATATTTTTTTTTTTGGTGCGTCAGAAGTTTTTTATATTTTCAATGTCGATTGTGACATTATTATAATTACATTAATGATTTTCTTTCGAAATTTCCTAAAAGAATCGAAGTGTGCACAGTACATTTCATCTTAGAAAAGTCGGCAAAAAATCAGAAAAAAAATAATGGAATCTTTACGATTTTCTTCCGCAATTTCGTAAAACAATCGAAGTGTGCACAGTTTATTTCATTTTAGAAAACTCGGCAAAAAATCGGAGGAGATCTTTACGAATTCTTTAAAATTTCTCTACAATTCAGAATACTCTGTAAAAATGGTTTGCAGGGTGCATACATACAGTTGATATAGATGTACTTGTTTTATGGTTTTTATCTACATATTAAACCCCCAAACAAACCTTCAAAGTATCTTCTATTTTCCTTGGTAATTATAATAGGTACTCACGTAGCATTGTCCTTGGGAACGATTTGCTCGGAATCCAATTCTAGTGTCTCTACTTCCATGTCGGATGATTGGTCCTGCTCGTTGTCACTATCTAATACAATCACTTCATCCATCAAAGAGAAGTCACGTAGGAGTTGCTCAACTTCGCTGTTCCAATTTTACGCCTAAATAATAATAAAAAATATGTTGAAGCAACCGATTAAGACGAACGCGAATTTACGAACGTCCAGAAGCAAAAAAATTTAGAAACACGCGTGTGCGAACTTCGACTACCGATTTTCAACTTGTAGATAATTATCGGCAAAGGAACGATTTGCAATTATAAACACTACACGAAGAATATGATATGACCACAATATACCAATACTCCAAAATTTCCTCTATATTTTAAGACCAAACAATTTTTTTTTTTTACTTTCTTTGGGTTTCTTTCAAACAACTTTTTCTCACAATATTTATAAGCAAAACGAAAAAGAAAAAATTTCGAGCCACTCTACACGTAGGAATGGCCACGATTAATCGTTTGACTGTAATAATCGATTGGTGGGATATATTTACGATTTAATACTAGCTTTGTTTCTTAACAGATAATTATCACAGATTATGACTGGATTCTGCTGGAAAGCCAAGAATGATAGAATACAAGATTGCGCCGTCCTGGGCGTTGACATTTGTGTACCACACGTAAACAAAGAATAGAGCGAAAAGAAGAACGAGTTGAAACTGCCAAAGCAGTTCACTTTACAGCGAAAAACGTGTTTTAATTTTGCTAATTGCGAAAATATTGCATTTTTCAACTAATCTATAAGAGAACAGTGAATATTTTAGTGCACTCCATTGCTTTGCAATTTAGGCTGCTTCAGCAAACGTTTTAGTGCACTCCATTGCTTTGCAATTAAGGCTGCTGCAGAAAACTGCGGCAGCATCTCAGCTGGATTGATTGGTTAACTTGCTAATGGAGGCTGCTTGGAGCAGAAGCAAAATCATTGTGAGGAAATGCTGTTAATGTATTAATAAAGAAACATTTCGAGAACGGCTTTGCCGTGCCCTATGTACACAAAATGCAGCGATTCGTTCCCGCGCTACACTTGCATCTACGCTTCTTGCATCTTGACGGCTGTCGCAATTTAACACACATCACTTCATTGTATTAGTTTTTACGCAGTCTGCATCTCAAAAATCACTCACAAATTGCAAATTAACACAATTTAAACTGATTTTTCACTTATAACTCAAATTTCTCTAACGCTGATTTGTAAACAAAGGTTTATTTACAAGTTACCACAAGTGTCAAAATCGGCAAAACCAAAGTAGCGGTACCACTGACGGCGCCACCTTTGTTCGCTGCACCGTGCTGGAAAGCGTTTCTTAACCAGTGTTGCCAGAACTTTTTGGGCCGACCGGCTAGATTGGCAAAAAAAAGCGGCTAAAAACGGCTTAAATGTTTTAGTGAAATTTCACATAGACTCTGGCAAAAAACGGCTAAAATGTTTTAGTGAAAATCCACATGCTTTATTTAAATAAATCGCAAGAAACGAAAGACTAGTTAACACCATTAATTTATATCGAGTGTATATTCCTCATCATCAAATGAATCACTATTGTATATATCACCTGAATTCATTAATTTTAAGAGATCGTCATCTACAGTAAAATTATGGCAGCATTTTTCTTCACGTTTTAAACCGTATCTTATATTTAAAATAGCGTTTAACGTTTTAACGCACATTGGATTTCTGTGCTTAGTTTTTATTATATTCATTGAACTAAATATTCGCTCTACTTCTGCATTACTTATAGGGAAAACAAGAAAACTAGGTTGCAAAGGTCAGCAAAAGGGTTTTCTCCTAGGGCATTTCGAAATTGATAAACTTCGGCCCAAAATTTTACAGTTGAGTCTAAATTACTCCAGGTATGTAACGTTAACCGTTGCCATTGCATCTCTATGGATGTTTTTTTGTCGGCATTATATTTGTGTTTTTGTTGCTGTAGTTGAACAAATACTTTTGGTTTAATTACTCTTAATGCATTTCCAACCGAAAAAAGGCATTTTTTTTAGTTTGGCAATATTTGTAGGGAGGCGTTGGCGTATTTCCTTTATTAAAGTGATAATAAAATAGCGACCATTTTCTCGAATTATTTTCTCGGCTTCGTGGTCAAAAGCGTTTGTGCTTACTTTTGTTTTTAAATACTCTTCAAAACTGTGATAAAACTGAGGAAATGGAGCAAGGTATGGTTCCAACGGGGAGCATATAGGATCAAATGTGTCCGCGCTAATAACCACTAGGCAGCATAGATGCGAAAGTAAAACATTGAGTTCATTAAAAATCTTCATTGGGTCTGCATTATTGCTTTCGAAAAACTTGTTTACTTTTTGCACCTGAAAATTAGGCAAATAGTAAAATCGGCTAAAAACGGCTAACTTTTTTTTACAAACCGGCTAACAAATCGGCTGCCGGCTAGATCAAATTTTCTCCGGCTAGTTGCTATCAAAACCGGCTAAATCTAGCCGGAAAACGGCTAAAATGGCAACGCTGTTCTTAATACAAAAAATTTGCAGAAGAGAGCCAAAAAGAGAGCATAAAAACCCGAGAGAGCTGCAAATGTTTGCTAGCGAAATTTCTGCCAACAGAAACTTGCAGTCATATGTTTAACTCGAATCGAATTCGGGTTCAGCGAACCCTAAAACCCCTGAGTAACGATTTTCAAGCGAATGCGACGAATTTTACAAAAAGTGTCCGCCATATTGGATCCGCCATTTTGAATTTTGAAAAAATAATATCATATTCGTAATTAGCGACCCCGAAAACCCCCGAGTAACGAGTTTCAAACGAATCCGATGAATTTTTCCAAAAGGTGTCCGCCATATTGGTTTTCTGGGGTTATATCAAAACCCTGAACTGATGGGGTTAAATGGACCTCGGATTCGGATTCAGCGACCCCAAAAACATAAAATACACATAGTGAGACCTTTGGGTCAGAACACAAATTTTTTTTTGGGTGGCTCTGTTAGCACAGATTTTGACTGGATTCTGCTGGAAAGCGTTTCTTAGGCCCTGTGCCAATTGATAGAAAATAGAAATATTGACGGATCAAAGTAAAAATTTGACACTTCTCGTGGTGAATACGAACGTCAAAATTTTACCTAGCTCATGGGGCTAGGTAAAATTTTGACAGCTTATAACCATGTATACACATAATATTGCTTGGCGGTAATAAGGAGTGAACATAAAAATGAAAGCTGAAACAGCATAAAAGAAGCTTACGTTACTTGCAAATTATAAAATAAATATAAATTTTAAAAATTTCAGCAACACACAAAAATAGAGCTTTCGAACGAGCGTTTGTTTGGTTTTTCAACTGTCAAAATTTTACTTTGCATTTGGCACAGCAAAATTCAATTTATTTGTACACCATAGCAAATTTTTCCACCCCGTCTCACCGCGGAGAAAAAAGTTACCGATTGGCACAGGCCCTTAACACAAAAAATTTGCAGAAGAGAGCCAAAAGGAGAGCATAAAAACCCGAGAGAGCTGCAAATTTTTGCTGGCGAAATTTCTGCCAACAGAAATTTGCAGTCATATGTTTAAAACGCAGCTGATCAAAACGCACAAGGAAAAAGTTGGCAAGTTTATTTTACTTCGTTTTAATAAAACAAAATGAGTGCATCGTTATCAAAACACATTGAAAAATTGCAGAATGTAAGGATTTGTACATGCATTTGAAGATGTTTGTGTGTGTGTATACTGTGATTTCAAATTTCTGGTAGTTTTCGTTTCTTCACTTTTTCCTCTTTCGATCTCTTTGTGCGTGAAATTATACCCTTCTCCAATCTTCTATCAAGAGCTGTAAAAAGTTAAGAAACACTCCTTATATCAAGGAATTACTTTTGATAAATCGATTTTTAGTAGAGAAATGGTAATATGGAGTTTACATCAGTGGATACAACATCCAACTCTCTGCAAGCAACAATCGTCGGGTGAAAACGGCTGTTGAACTAAAGGGCCATTCACATACAACTTTCCTCGCTTTGCTTGACTTTCAAAGTTTGACAACAAAGCGCGAAACGCAGAAGGTATGCTACGATAAACGCTTTGACAGCTTTTGCGTTCTCCTTTTCCTCCATATTTTTTATCTGTAAAATAGATAGCAATATAATAATATGCATTAATAACAGCAATAAAAATTCCTATTTACCCTATTTTTGTCATTAAATGCATATGCAAGCGCATAAGAAAAGATAAATGTAGACAGCTGTTTCAGCTAAGGCTAGGCCCAGGAAGTGCGCTATTCGACAGGGTCTGTTCATGAGGACAGGGGCGTTAGTTGGGTGGGGTTCTCGGTGCATGTGAAGAAGTGCTGTGCGTCATGTGGCGACCCTCCAAATGCCGGGCATGGGTTGGACGCACCCTCATTAATACTGCTCAGGTATGAGTTTAGCCTGCTGCAATAGCTGACGGGTCCAGAGGTTGTTTGATGAATCTCTGGACTTCGTCCGTCAGTTCATAGATATGCCTCTTGACATACCTTGGCGAGGGCTCTTCTGAAAGCAGCTTTTTGTTTCGATGACCACGTCTGTAGCTCCCCACAAGAAACTGCTTGAAGAGCATTGTTTTGTGCTCCTTGATTCGGAGCTAGGCCCAGATAGTCGTGAAGGTGCTGTTGTTAGAATGCGTCCGAAGTGCCGTATTTTTGCAGGTCTGTAACTTCATCCACTGCGTCCTGTTAGTCCCAGGTGACCACACGGGCACTGCATAGTTTACAACCGGCTGGGCAATTGCCCCAAGTGCTGCCGGTCAGCGACTTGAGAACATTGTTGCGGCTCTGTACTTTGTTAACAATTGCGGTTGTATGCGCCGAGAATAAGATTAGACTGTCGCAGATGACTACGAGGATTTCGGGGTTATTCACCGTCGGTATTGTTACGCCATCGAGTTGTAGTCTGACCTCCTCCGTCCAAGTGGGGAATAGGGTTGCCGAGGCTTTCGCAGGGGATAGGGCAAGGCTCCTTGCACTGAAGAAGCGAGAAAGCTCGGCGAGATAACCGTTTACTTTCGAGCACAAGTCATCAATTCCATTCCCAGACCCATAATCGGGAAATCGTGAGCTTAAGGGACAATAGTGGCTCCCTCTAGTGGTTGAGGGAGCTTTGAAATATAAGGTTCTTTCTCTGATGATCTGGACCGGATCCGATAAATAGAGAATAAGCGAAAAGTTTGCTCTCAAAAGTGGAACCTAGTCCAGAAGTACAGGAACGCAAAAAACCACATTTCGTGCTTAGAAACAGCTGATTCACGTTGTTTTTGTTTTTGTCCTATCAATGTAAAAACTTTTTTTTAAGTATACAGTTGACACTTTATACATTTTTACCCGGAGAAAACGTCCGGGCTGTTTCGTGCGGGAAGAAGAAGACACTTACGATCCAATACGTTCCAATTTTCGCTCTTTATTACCCATTTGTTGAGTACGGGCATGATACGGGCCATTGAGATTTTTTGACGTTTGCTAGCATTTTGA